CCAAGAAAATATTTATTGAAATACAAAAATAATCGTGTATGTTGCTCTTTTTTTATTTCGTTTCTTTTGTATTTTGTGAATATAATTTAGCATGTGCGTAACAGAAATTTTCATGAAGAAATTCTCCGATTTAACTTTTTGAAACCACTCATTTTGGACGAAATTATTTAAATCTGTAAATTTTAAATGTAAATATATATTCTATGGTGGTTGCAGCAGACAAACCTCAATTCTCTCATTAAACATTTTTTGTGCTACTATGTAAGTTTAATTACCAACCTTTTTAGAGTTTTATACCGTAACAATTAGATATCTGCTGCACAATAATTGTTTAATACATAGGTGCACATTAATGTTATTTTAGCCATAATTTTTTAATATGCGATTAAATATTTTTAAAAATCAACTTATTTTAATTTGTAATTCAATACTTTTGCTTTGTACAACTGGATAAAAATCTGACAGTAATATTTAATGTTTTTTCAAACATAAAAGAGTCGTATATAAAATTTTGATAAAGTTACAGCCCACCATGTGACTGGAGCTTTTAACTGTGGCCCCCGGCCTCACGTAAATTGGAAACCCCTGGTCTAGATAATTCAATTCGTTACTGCAAAATGTAGGCTATTTAATATACTAATACAATTCCACCAAGCATGTCATATTGGCAGACTTTAAAAGGCTTGTAACTCAGTTAAAAAAAAATTTGAGCAGTACTGATAATTTTTGTGAAAATAAACCTCAGTGTCATTTACACTCCAATTTCTAGAAACTTTCAGAAATTTAAAATTTCCTAAAAATAAATTAAAAACACTGTTGGGTCTGTAAGATCAAGTTTTTAAAAAAGATTATTTTAACAAATGAAAGTTACTGATAATTGGAATAAATGAAAATGTTTAGAAAAAAAAGAAATTACATTTTTTTTTTCAATTGAGATAAATGCTTTAAAAGTAGGGGAATATGAAACTCTTCAATGGCAGAATTGCCTTTAAGTTAAAAAAAAGTTTTAAAGTAGCATATGAACAGTAACTTTCTCAACTAAAAAACTTAAAAACCATAATTTTTTTTTTCTTTTTTAATGTGGCTACCCATTCACACAACTACACCTTACTTGGTTTCTTAGTGTTTTTATTTTCAGAAAGTATCGTTCAGGATGCGCAGCCGAATCTCAACAAAAAATAAGCACCTTATACTTTTTAAGAATTCAAAAAATATTTTTAAGCAATATATACATAAACAAAATAATTGTCAAAGACTTCACATGATCATGATAAAAAAAACAAGATTCTGATATAGAACTCTATTTGATTATATTAGGAAAAAAAATCTTATTTTTGAAAAGGGAAAATTACGCACTTTTTAAAAACACCATGAAAAAAACACCTTTAAGGGCTTTTAAACAACGGAAATCGAAAATCGACACCTTTTAAAAATGTTACACACCATGTTAATGAATATTATTTATAATTTAAAAACTATTCACAAACTCTACCAAACAGTTAGTGTTTTTCTGAGGAAATCATAAAAGACACTGAATATAAATTGATTTGCCACATGATCAACAGGTATTCTTTTACAACAGTTCAAAATATCGCACATTTGAAGGTACTGCTATTTTAGCTTTAAATTTAAATATTGACTAGTTAAATTTTAAAAGGATTTAATATTTCATTTGATTCAATAATGTTTCTACATCTTGAAGTTCCTGAATGTTTTATTCAATTAATCACTTTGACTATATCAGGGGTCTTGTCTAGGTTTTTCTGAAAGGTACCTATTTTGTGAAAATAAAAAAATAAACACAAAAATATGGTTTTATCGTTTCTAGGGGATAAAAAATGAACTTTTAAGAAAAGGTATTTTGTGAAATTACTGTATGTCCTACAGTTGAATTAGTGAAGGTATCGCTAAACAGTAGTAAATTTCGCCTGGACAGACATCTGTATCTATAACAGGGGTTTCCAACTTACAAGAGGCCGGGGGCAGCAATTAAAAACACCAGTCAAATGCCAGGCTGCAACTTTATCAAAATTTTATATAGGACTCTTTATTGTTTGAAGGAACAATATATATTACTGTCAGATTTTTATCTAGTTATAAAAACAAAAGTATTGAATTATAAATAATAATAAATATTTTATTAGATGCAAATCCTGAGACATAAATGGCTTTTTGCACCACTGGTGCGTTAAATTTCACAGAAACAAAGAAATTTGTGTTTTTCTTACGAAGATTGTCCGCAAAAAATTACAACTAATATATTTTAGTTCGCGAGCCGGATGCGGTCAGGGGGCCGCCAGTTGGCATCCATTGATCTATAACATAAAATTTGCAAAAGTATTTTAGCGTAATCTACCAGTTCAGTTTCACGCTCCAAGGGTGAAATCTAGTTTCTTTAGGAACATGTCAAACAACCATTAAGAAAACATGTTAATATCTTTAAGTAAGACTATTTGTCGAGAAATAGTGCGAAAAACATTGAATTCGCTTAACTTAATAAATAATACTCTAACACTGCTTTTAGATATTTTTTTTTGGTACTAAGAAGAAAAATTTTAACATTTGCTATCTAGCTTAACTGGATACATTGTATAAAATTCATTAAGAGGGGATGTTTCTGTATTATGAGTAGTGCAAGTTATAATCGAAAAGGTACCAAATAGATTTTAAACTTGCAAATTTTTTTATAAAAAAAAAACTAGATGTTTGCTCAGGGGTGGCTATGAGTTATACCTTTAGAGTTGGTCCCTTTCAGTTTTTTTTTTCTCTTTTAAATTTCTCGAGGGGCTGCTGCCGTACATTGCCAACACTTGGGAGATTGTTTCGTCCACAAATCACGATACGGAAATCTGCCCTTCATTAGAAGGTACATATAGTTCATTTAATATACTTTGAAATAATGATATATATTTTTTTTCACTCACATGAAGAGTTAACAAAAATAGATATTTTTCTGTTAGTAGTTCACATGTAAAATCAACTATTATTTTTGGAGGGTGATAGTTATTTTGTGTAACAAAATTTTTTTTAAATTATGATTGTGCCTGGCTAACAGACATATTATTTAAGATAGCAAGGAGAATGTGCATCTATTTCACAACGCACTACAGATTACCTAAAACCTTCTGTAAAATGTTCCATTTTTGTCAAATTATGAAATTTAAGTAATAATTTGGTAAAAGTTGCTTTTTTTTTCTTGTTAAAAAAAAATTAAGGATACTTTCATATTGGAATCTGTCACACCAACTACAATATCCAAGGCACATATTGAATTTAATACATTCAGATTTTTAAAAAACCTGAAAGATTTTTTAAACATTACATTATTTGATCTCCTGCTGTGCTTTATCTAGCAGAATTAGCTTCTGCTTAAGTTTTTTTTAATTTGGATACATAAAAACAAGGTTCTGATTACAACAATGTTTCCACTCAAATCTGGGGGGAAAAAATTCCCTGCAGATATTATACACAGTATAATTAAGAGGATACACTGCACTTTTGTGTAAGTTATAATGTACTAACTATACTAAATTTAATTACAGGAGAAATTTAGAGAAAAAAAAAAAGGTATAGCTGAACATTTAAAACAAATGCTATAGTAAATTAAATAAATTAGAATAGCAGAAATATCCTAAATATGCCATAGATTGGGCTTTGACTGGTCACTATTTATATAAGGACGAAAATAAGAATCAAAATTTCCTGTATTTTCCCAATTTGTAAAGAAAAACTAACAATTACCTGTATTTTCCCTGTTATTTTAGGTGATTTCTAAATTCCCTGTATTTTTCAGGTTTTCCCTGTGGAGAGGCAACCTTATGATGAAGAGAGATACAAACACCACATCTTTCAGAGAATTGTTTTAAAGTTATAAATAAAGACGCCATGATGAGCAACAGAAAAATAGTGTTATTTTAAAGGTGAAGAATTAAATCCTAACTTCTCCTAAAACTACCCATGCATATAATAAAAGAAATGTATACAGCTTGATCTAACTCTTTGGAAAACTTTTAATGTTTACCTATTAAAAGATTTAGCACATTTCTATTTCGCGTAACTAACATATAATTAAGATAAGTTATGTTCAAGTCTCGAAGTCAAAATTGAACCGTTATCACTTCATAAGCCTCAGATCGAAGGGGTGGGGGGAAGAGGGGTTGAAGTTGATAGCATTTACGCGATGAATAGTTACAAAATATAATCCTCCTTTACATTTGGAAAATAAAATAGTGTCAAATGAAATTTTTTGCTGTCAGTTATAAGAATAATGAATTAACTGACAATGATATTTAGCTTAACGTAAATCAGCAGTGTGTAACTGAACGAGATATTCCGGCTAGCTCTACATGTAATTTTATATACATTACTATCAAACTAATTGCATAACAAGGCATGAAAATATTTCTTTTTTTTTCTTCATAGTTAAGTTTAATGTAATTTTTTTAATTATAATTTAGAGGATTGTTAGGTGAAATTAAATATTGACAGGAAATAAAGGGGTGGAGATATTCCATTCATTTAACACAAACAACGGCACTTGTAACACACTGGTGGCTATTTAAAATGTAATACAAAGCCATTTAAATAGCTAAAAATTTGCTTACCATCTTTCACTGGGACTTCGGGGCGCAATGGCGCTAGGAGTTCTCATCCAATGAGGCTGTCGATTTACCCAGGGTGGCTCAAATGCTGGTTCTGGTCGGTGATGGTTGTTAAAGCCGCCAGGAAAATCCCGAAAATTTCCTTCATGCCGGCGGCCAAGGGGAGGCACTTTGTCAAATGTCATCTGAATTTTTATGGAAACCGCGTTAAAATTTTAATAAGAGGTATTGATTTTTGGCGGATCAAATAACTTGAGGATTAGGCTTGTGCTTATTCTATGGTTAGGAGAGGGGGAAAAAAATCAAGCGAAAAGAGCCTTTTTACATACAAACACAAGGTCGAATTCACTGTATCCATCCGCGTATTCTTCCTATCAGCCAACCACAGGAAGAAGCATTTTGTGACGTAAACTGCGTGAAAGTAGGGAGCAAAGCTCTAAGTTTTATCAAGGACAACTCGCCGGCTTTTCTTTATGTATTCGATTATTTTTTTTTTTCAAACTTGAGTATTAAAATAAGAGATAGGATCTCACGGTTTTAAAATGCTAATTATTAAAACATCTTTATTGTAAAAAATATGTAAGCAGACGTTAAGATATGTATCTATTTTTTTTAATTCTAATGTTATTAAATAAAGGGAACAAATCTCTGTGTATTGGATTAGTTTATTGATTTTTTTTTTAATTCTGTATTTTCAAATTATTTTATTGGATTATACAAATTCTGCACACGCTATTTTTAAGGAGGAATCTTACTACGTTTATTTTTTAAATAAAAAATATTATAACATATTTGCCAAAAAAAATTCTAATCTACCAAAAGAAAAAAAAAATGCATGCACATAAAAATGAAACCGAAGTTTAACTTTTCTATTATTCCAAATTAAAGTAATAAAAATAGTGTTCTTGGTATTTCTAGACCTATCTTTGAATACAGAATAACAAAGATGGCTGAAACCTAAAAAGGTGACAGATTGTTTGTGTGTAGACAATAACAGAAAGACTGAAACTTAAGCGTGACAAATTGTTTGTGTGAAAACATCCAAAATCTTAAAATAATTCATCGAAAAAAAACCTATTATAGACTCGATTATCGAAATTTCATGAGATTTTATTCGACTTGATTAAACGGAACTTTTAAATTATTTTAGTTTCTTCGATAATAGAATTTTTTTTCTCGATAAATAATGACATACGTTGAAATACTTTTTTTTAAAATGAAACTAGAGTACCTTTTAAACCTACCTGGTGTTAAAAATATCATACAAATGGCTACGAATTTTGCTTTCAGTGTGAAATGTGCAAAAAAAAAAAAAATANGCAAAAAAAAAAAAAAAAATATGAAGAGAAAAAAAAAACTGCTACAAATGTAAAAACTCATTTTAGCCGTTTTTGCATATTATTTTAATAAGGAGAACATTTTATTTAAAAATTTATTTTAATGGTAGAAAAAAAAACTCTTGACTGAAATGAGTAGACCGAGTGCAGAAAATTTTAAAAATCTGGCTCGATTAATTTAGGTTAATATTACTACCGTTTCCTTTAACTAACAATCCAATAAATTCTGTATTAGAAAAGTAGACCCTGTAGTCAAGTTATTTTCAAGGAAAATGTGAAAAAAATATGCATTTTAACTATGGAAGCTAATAATAAATTTTTTAATTCAGTAAAAAAAAAAAAACCAATCCAGAAGACAAGAGAACTCCTGGATCAAGTATTGGGAGAAATCTGCTTTCACTAAAAATTGTTTTTTGTTTAACATTATGGGTGCCTAATTGCACTAGTTCTATAAGATACATTTTCGCTATTTTAAATTATATTTACTTAACTATACAATTTAATTAAAATAGGTTATACAATAAGCTGCTTTCTTTATAGCTGAATTCATCGAAATCTAGCCACAGATTTGCGTAGAGCAAAGCATCGTATGCCACAACTTTAAAGAGAATCCATTTCTATGTCCATTCCATTGTAAATGTTTGTTTTGATTTTGTGATCAAAGTTAAAGTGATATTCCACTAAGTTAGCTTTTTTAACTTTCGGATTTTTGCAAAAACTCTTATTTTCACTTACGTAAGTTTGATATTTTTTCATAGGCGCATTTCACCAGAACTGACTCCCTATTATGTAAGCATCAAACGTGGAGTTTTGTGATTTGCTGACAAGGAGAGAGACGTATGAGCAAGGACATTAAAATCTATTTAAATTTTAAAACCTTTCGTATGATGTAAAAAAAAATGGAATAATAAAATTACTAATTAAAAAAAAATCCAAATTTGGAATTAAATTCTGAGAAGAAAAAAAAAAAAGAGTTGTAAAATATTTCTTAGAACAGTTTCAGAAGTAAAGTACTTATATCACAAAAAATTTATAAAGAATATTTTACCGAAAAGTTTATAAAATGAATGAAAACTTGTGTTAAGTTGCATCTTTTTAGCTAAATTGAACTTAATATTTCGAATAATAGAGAGAAAATCAAAGTTAGCAAAAAACAAAGATAATGCAACTTTTGGGATTCATTTATTTTTGATGAGAGACGGAGGAATCAAACGATTTGCGAAGGCGTGATATTTGAGCAGCCCCTTATGGTCAAAAAGAACAAAACGGTGGTCCCCCCAATTCATACAGAAAGGTATTTGAAAGAAGCTCAGAAATACCTTCCGCAAAATACGTTAAGCTCTTTTTTTCTTCTCATTTTTTCAGTAAAAAAAATAATAAAGATAAAAAACCTCAGACGTTCTAATTACACTAATTGTTTACTTCAATATGAAAAAAAATATCAAACAGAAACAGGAGGTATTCTGAGGATATTCTAAAGAGAAAGGGGTGGCCTGCAGGTGCAGAAAGGGGCGTCGCTATTTACAATCACAGGGTTTTTTTACGACTTATTTGAAATTTTTCTCTTGGTGTTGCAGTGAATCGCAATTTTAATGCTATTTGATTAGGTAGTTTTCATCCTCACACCTGTATTTCACTCCCCCCCCCCAATCGCTCAAAAGGACTATTATTGCTGGGCAGGGCATTGGGGTTATAGTGAAAGATTGTGGTCATTGAAAAGAATTGACTGCGCATGCTCAAAACTGCGAAATGATGGGGGGGGGGATCACACTTTTCTAACGAATAATATCGTTTATCATAAGTAGGAATATATGTTATAGATAATCATTCCACAAACCAACGAGTTAAGCAATTTTTTTTTACAAAAATGTTCTTTAAAAAAAATATCCCTTTCTTTTTCCCTTAGTCGCGTGTATAGAGGCGTGCCTGTGGAAAGTGCTGACGTAAAATATCCTCAGTGGTAGACGGATCATGGGTAAGAGTTCCCTTGCCGTCGAACTAACAGTGGGAAGTTTTCGCTGCCATGCAACGCAAATGCGGGTTAGTTCCATCAAAAAGTACTCCACCAAGGCAAATTAGTTCCACTATACTTGATCCAGGAGTTCCCTGGTCTTCTGAGTTGGGTTCAAAATGACAAGGCTACGGAGTTGAACATGAGTAGCCGTAAACCCGAAATTGGGTCTGTTGTTCAACGACCGATTATGAAATAAAATATTGCAAAAATATTGCATTGTATTTAAATAAAGGTAGATTAAAATTAAATTAAAACTAATTATAAAATTATCTCATTTTAATTGTAATGCATTCATGTGTATTCAAAATCATCAATGGTTAGAAATAAAAAGTCTGTTCAATTTAATGAAGCGCAATTTAAAGCCTTACAAATATTTAAAAAAAAAAAAAATTCATGCACAACAACTGGTAGAATCCAATATTTTTTTTAAATAATTTTTAAAATAATCATGCTCTGCTAACTTAAAAACAATTAAATTTTAATAAATTCATTAAATATAAATAATTACGATTTGTTGTGACAATAAATACAATCAATATATATATTTTGGGTGAGAAAATTACTCTAGTGAGACTACTTTTTTTGACTGAGAATGGTTGGTTATAAATATCATTTTGTTGCCATTTACTTTGATTGTAAGAAACTCTTTTAAAAACAGTATACCAGTTTATAACTACAAAAATGTTTATAGAAGTGACATAAATGTAATGTAAGTGATATATATATATTGTAAAAGACTTATAAAATTTAAAAAATAGTAATCAGTCACTCGAAACAAGTTTGATAAATATTAAATAAATGTAATTTTTAAAAAAAAACAAAGCAAGAAATTGTGAGTGGATTATATTTTTGTAGCTCTGAATATTAAAAAAAAAAAAAAAAAAAAAAAAAAAAAAAAAAACCAGACAATAACGACGATTTGGATATAAAAAATAAAAAAAAAACAACAACAACTGACGATATGTTCTTAAATCTAACCATTCAATAAAAAAAATAAATAAAAAATCGAACTTTTACGAGTGGTTAAACTCTAAATCTATCAATTAATGAATAGAACGAAAAACATATCTCCGTAGTTATCACTATTAGCTGTTACCAGTTTTAAAATAATTAAAAAACATGTTTTTCATAATATAACAAAAATGTCAAATAAGAGGGTGGGTTGTTAAAAGCCACCAGATTGGACAATCGCCAGGCATTCATCTGACTTTTAACTTTAACTCTAAAACTTTAAATTAATGTTACTTTTAGTACAAAGTTTAAAAAAAAAAAAATTTAATAAATAAATTTTTAAAAAATTAAATAAAAAAAGTAAATTTTGTTTTATGGAACATATTTGAATTGAATCCAAAAAATGCTTAATATTCTATAACAGTGGTTTCCAACTGGCGGCCCGCGGGCCTCATCCGCCCCGCGAAACTTTTTTTTGTGGCCCGAGAACCAAAATATATTAGTTGTCATTGTTTTGCGGAAAATTTTCGTAGAAAATCTATATAGGTTTTTAAGTTTTATGTCTTAACAATTTGATATCTGTTTCACATTAATTGTTTGATATAGGTGCACATTAAAGTTATTGTAGCCAGAATGTCTTAATATGCAATTAAATATTTTTGAAAATCTACTTCTTATTTTAATTTGAAATTCAATACTTTTGTTTTGTACAACCTAATAAAAATCTGACAGTAATATTTATCTTTCCTTCAAGCATAAAAGAGTCCAATACAAAATTTTGATAAAGTTGCGGCCAGCCATTTGACTGGTGTTTTTAATTGCGCCCCCCCCCCCGGCCTCGTGTAAGTTGGAAATCCCTGTTCTATAACTACAATTAAATGACAAAACGTGGAGTTGTGAGTGGCAAAAATAGGCTATCATACACAATGTCCACCACTGAATTATCTATCTATATTATATAAAACGCTAATACGTACGTATGTATGTATGTATCAATAAAACCGATGATATTTCTTTTCTCGAGCTGGCAACAATTTTCATTTTTAATTGATTGG